GACGATGATGGTAGCTACTTTCAGTCGATCAATGGAAGTGATAATTCAAGTGATGCAAAAGTAGCTAAGAAAATGCAAAAATTGGCGTTGAAAGGAATAAGATGAATACAAGTCTCAAAAAAGTAGTAAAATTAGGGATTGGACAAAGTTGCATAGAAGGGGTATTCGAACGGGTTGTTCAAATGCGCGAACCATTGCATACAGCTGGCTGCATTAAGCTGCCTGCGAACAAGGGGTGGGTCCCAGTGCGAATGGTGCAACCTATAGAGCTCTTACAACGCTAGAGTACTCTTCAGTTTTGAATCTGCACATCGGCGAAGCCGGTTTTGAGACCAATATTACGCACTCTTGTATGTTTTTCGATTCGACAGTGTCCCTTAGGCTATATTAGGTGGGTTGCAGATTCATATCATTGTCAGGAAGAAATCTCAGAAAACATCATAAATATGATTTTTCGATTTTTTGATTTTCAGACTATATACGAAGTATATATTTTCAGCTTGCTCTTCTTCCTTATTATAGTTCTGTATACTATATGTAATATACTGGCGGTTATCTATTTATCTCTAAGAGTGCAAGACTCTGAAGATATCGAAGCATATATGATTATAGACACGACTTACCAGGGCGTTTACATCTATCTGGGATTCACAGGTCAGTTTACAATTCGAACAGTACTTGAGTTCGAGTTTAGGCGTCAAAAGGCCTGGATAACGATGAAAACGACCTTCGAGATGCCCTCATAAAGTGAATCTGGAGCCAGCCTACCCCCGAAGTATTCCACATGGAGCTGCCAGATCGGAGAACGGCCTAGATAGAGCGTCATAAAGGCTTGAATATTTATTGGCTATGTGCCACATCCATGGGCGGACGAGTTCCAGCTGCGTTTTGTGAGGTTGCACCCCATCTAAGGAGCACTCATATCGGGAATTCAAATGTCTTCTTGTGAGCTAGGTGACAGTGGAACGCAGTATTGGACATTGTCTGTTTAATGCAGTCATCTCTTTTCTAGAATGGCTTAGGCAAATGCAACAGCTGAAATCTTGTCCAAACATCCCTTCCATGCTGTTTTCGTCATGGTGATCTCATACAGCCTCTGCTGTCCCTACTTTTAGAAAGTTTACTTCGGTCCCACCGATGGACGATTCTTCACCAACGCATGCGCATTTTGGCCAAAAAATACCACAATCTATATCTCAGAACCATTCAAACTGTGCTTTTAAACCCATCCCTTCAGCCATGCCAGGAAAATTTATTATGCAGCGCAAACAAAACTATAAAAATGGTTTTTTATGCCTTGATGGCGATGGTTTCAGTGATTTTTTGCGTGATGGAGCGATTCCTTGCAACTGTGTTCTCTAAAACATATGAGTTTCGAAGGAACTGGTTTATACTTCTTCTTGGGCAAGTAGCTGTGGTGAGTAAATGAGTTTGTTGGCTGCTGTAGCTGCTGTATATAGTAATATGTGTACTGCTTTCAGGGTATATTCATTTTTCTTCATATTCATGTTTACCGTCTAGGTGAGTAGATGGACATCTGCCTTTTCATTTTACTGAGTATAGTTCCCGGAAAGAATTATCGTTGCAGTAGTTTGCGTAGAAGTCCCCATAATCAGTAGCAACTTGATGAAAGCACTGCTATTGAGCTGTTCGGGAAGTTATTTCGACTTTCGAGAAAAATTCTACCCTTTTGTAATTTCAGAATCAGTTTCAACAGGGAGTGTCAGATGTTGCACTTTCGGCACATTTCACTTTCTTACTTCTACCTTGGCTTCAAGGCTTATCCAGACTTCAAGAAATGGCAAGGCAAGGGCAACCCAACAGCAAAGACGGCCATCTCTCAGTATAATTTCTCTCTCGAGAATTTTTGGGCATGGGCAGGGATTGTAGGGTGTGTAGGTAATATGAATAGTAATCTGACGCAAAAATGCCGAGGTTTGGTAATAGTCACATGAGAAACATCATCAGAGAGACGTTTGTTGTGGTTCACCTTTGGGAGGGGAAGGAAGTTTTCTTCTAGATATCACACTGTCATCTAATCGTTTCAGGTGGTACGATAGTTGACATGGTTCAGCTTGGTCTTTCGTTTGTGATACTCACGGTAAGCAAGCTCCTTTGACAAGTCTACTTACCATATGATACTATCGCTTTCAATGGGGGCACCACTAGCCAACATTCAGAATTGTAAGTGTAAAGACCAGAGTAACGGGTCCGCACTTTGGAACGGATTTCTGCGAGAGAAAGAGATGGACAGAAATTAGACTCTGTCTTAGCAAAGAGTAAAACCAGTAACAAAGAGCATGTAGTATACAGATGCATCAACTACGTGCCAATTATGGCCACATAAGTATATCAGGAAGTGCTTTTCTCTCCCTCTACTCCATTGCCAGTGAAACCAACCCATAAGATGGTTTGATGGTTTGAGGGGAAGGGGGATTTGTTCCCTTAACCTTAAAGTAATGTTAGAGTTTTTGGCGTTAATTAATCCCGTCAGGGATGCGCCCACGCACTCGACTTCCATTCAGAATCGTAGTGGCGTGATGGGTGCGTATGTGGCCCATATTAATGACTTGCGGTGGTCAGCTGATGTACAAGTCAGCTTTTTTATCCTCTCAGACCAGTCTGGTACCAATTCACCGACCCCGGAGGGATGGAAGACTTGGTTGGCCTGAGCGGGCATCGATCCGGGAATCGAACCTTGACCGTGCGTGTGAGATAGTGCGCCACTTGCCAATGCCCACCTCCCCTGCCCTGGCCTTACGGAGGGTAATAAGGCATTTGTCACCACCCCACCTCTGTCCTTCGAAATGAGAAGGAATGTGTATATCATTAGTCCTAATACGCGACATCTAGTACTTGACCTTCAATGGAACTATAGAAACGTTTGAAGGTGCTTCTGATCCACGAAAACTAGAATCAGAATCAGAACCTTTTAGTGTCTTGTTGTTCTTCTTGTGGTGAACCGTCGTCTGCATCTGTCAACTAGAGGGAGAAGATCGCTTTCAAATCGCTACCAGATCTCGGAGAACGTCAGAGCACTGAGGTTTGAGATCTACGGACATCCACTCAGCTCTGCTGCTTCCAATGTGATTTCAGACTAGTCGCTCCTGTGGTTCTCCTTGATGCAGGCGTCACCATAGCCGATATGACCGGCACGCTTTTCTTCGACGTCCAACCTGCGTTTGATCGTGGAAACTACGAATCCGGATCAAATAGATATCTAGTAGCTTATATATTGTTGCGTGGAGTGAGTGGTAC